ACATGCTCTACCACTGAATTACACCCCTAGTTCCTTATTTATTTATTTATTTATTTATGCAGTAACTAGGGATTAATGCCTCCCACATACTAGACAACTGCTGTACCACTGAGGAAAATCCCTAGCCCTTTTTTTTTGAAAATTTTAAGACAGGGTGTTGCTCTTATAAGAAGAAAGAAAGAACACCCCTGCATTCAATCCCCAATACCAAAAAAAAAGGAAGGGAAGGAAGAGAGAAACAAATTGAACACATTGCAACAGAAGCCAGAAGAGATTTTTGCTTTTTGTTTTGTTCCTAGTATGTGCCAAACCCTGTGTAGGCTCTTGATGACAATACAACTATGCCTTCTAAGGGCTCTTTGTGTTGCTGCTATGCCAGAGCTCTCTAAGCCTAAGTCTCCATACACAGAGGGGCCTTTCACAGCTGAGCAGTGGTAGGGCAAGAACTCAAGCCCACACTTCTGCCACCAAAGTGTGGGCTACTGCCTGGTATGGAAGCATGCACCTCTAATCCCAGCAACTTGGGAGGCTGAGGCAGGAGTATTGCAAGTTTGAGGTCATCCTGGGTAACTTAGCAAGACCCTAAAAACAGGGTCGGGGTGTAGCTTAGTAAAATGTTTGCCTAACATGTGCAAGGCTCTGGGTTCAATCCCCAATACCACACACACACATACATATACACATATGAAATGTGTGGGCTGCCTCTGCTACTTCCCTTCATTGATACTGAATATGCTCATATATTCTGCAGTCCAGGGAATAGGTTGCTATGGCCCCAACACAGGAAAGTTTGCCTTACTGGGCATAGCCGTGCTCCTGATGGAAGGGGAATCAGGAAGAATGAATGTACAAATAGAGGAAGCTGAGGATTCAGGAACTAAAACTGAGGGAGGGAGTTCCCATCTGAATGTGAGAGGGAGGGGGACTGTGAGTTTGAGGATTTCATGGTGATTAATGAGGAGAGCAGAAAGTTGCAATGGGAGAGAGCTAAAGATGAAACCAAGGATGTTTGAAGGTTCAAGCTAGAGGATTTTGTGACCTGATTCATTCATAGGCTACATGCTGAAGTCTCCTTGCCCCCATCTCCTCTCCATGGGTCATCAGAGTTAGGAGAGTGATTCTGATATGGCTCTTTGCCTCTGTCTAGGTGAGGGACCTGATGTCCTGGTGTACAGCTTGGACTTGGGCGGGCATCTGCGGATGATGAAGCGAGTGCAGAACCTGCTTGGCCACTACCTTATCCATGGTTTCCGAGTGCGGCCAGAGCCCAATGGAGATGATTCGGAGGCCATGGTAGCTGTGTTTGGGAGCAAGGGACTCCGAATTGTGAAAATTAGCTGGGGCCAGAGCCGCTTCCGGGAGCTCTGGCGCTCTGGCCTATGGAATATGTCCGACTGGATCTGGGATGTACGCTGGCTTGAGGGCAATGTCGCCTTGGCCCTGGGCCACAACTCAGTGGTGCTATATGACCCTGTGATAGGATGCATGCTACAGGATGTACCCTGCACAGACAGGTGTACCCTCTCCTCAGCATGCTTGATTGGAGACACCTGGAAGGAGTTGACCATTGTGGCAGGTGCTGTCTCCAATCAGCTTCTAGTCTGGTATCCAGCAGCTGCCTTAGTAGACAACAAGCCGGTGGCACCTGACCGACGAGTCAGTGGCCATGTGGGTGTCATCTTCAGCATGTCATACCTGGAAAGCAAGGGCTTGCTGGCCACAGCTTCAGAAGACCGAAGTGTCCGTATCTGGAAGGTGGGCGACCTGCGGGTACCTGGGGGGCGGGTGCAGAATATTGGACACTGCTTTGGGCACAGTGCCCGTGTGTGGCAAGTCAAGCTCCTAGAGAATTACCTTATCAGTGCAGGAGAGGACTGTGTCTGCTTGGTGTGGAGCCATGAAGGTGAAATCCTCCAAGCCTTTAGGGGCCACCAGGGCCGTGGGATCCGGGCCATCGCTGCTCATGAAAGGCAGGCATGGGTGATCACTGGGGGTGATGACTCAGGCATTCGGCTATGGCACCTGGTAGGGCGTGGCTACCCAGGCTTGGGGGTCTCAGCTCTCTGTTTCAAGTCTCCTAGCCGGCCAGGTACCCTCAAAGCCGTGACACTGGCTGGATCTTGGCGACTACTGGCAGTGACTGATACAGGAGCCCTTTATCTCTATGACCTTGAGGTCAAGTGTTGGGAGCAGCTGCTAGAAGACAAGCACTTCCAGTCTTACTGTCTGCTGGAGGCAGCTCCTGGTCCTGAGGGCTTTGGACTGTGTGCCATGGCCAATGGTGAGGGTTGTGTCAAGGTTGTCCCCATCAACACTCCAGCTGCTGCTGTAGACCAAGCCCTGTTCCATGGGAAGGTTCATAGCCTGAGCTGGGCCCTGCGTGGCTATGAGGAGCTCCTGTTGCTGGCATCAGGCCCTGGTGGGGTTGTGGCTTGCTTGGAAATCTCCGCTGCACCCTCTGGCAAGGCCATCTTTGTCAAGGAGCGTTGCCAGTATCTCCTGCCCCCAAGCAAGCAGAGATGGCACACATGCAGTGCCTTCCTGCCTCCAGGTGACTTTTTGGTATGTGGTGACCGTCGCGGCTCTGTGCTGCTATTCCCATCCAGACCAGGTCTGCTTAAGGACTCTGGGGTTAGAAGCAAGGCTATTGCTGAGGGACCTATAGCAGGTAGTGGCAGTGGGAATGCTGTGGCCGGGTGGGGCCCTGTATCTACCCTCCATTCTCTGCATGGGAAGCAGGGTGTGACCTCAGTCACCTGCCATGGTGGCTATGTGTACACCACAGGGCGTGATGGCACCTACTACCAGCTCTTTGTGCAAGGTGGCCAGCTTCAGCCAGTTCTGCGCCAGAAGTCCTGTCGAGGCATGAACTGGGTGGCTGGGCTTCGCATGGTGCCTGATGGGAGCATGGTCATCCTGGGCTTCCATGCAAATGAATTTGTGGTGTGGAGCCCCCGGTCACATGAGAAGCTGCACATCATCAACTGTGGTGGAGGGCACCGCTCCTGGGCCTTCTCAGATACTGAAGCAGCCATGGCCTTTGCCTACCTTAAGGATGGAGACGTCATGCTATACCGGGCTTTAGGTGGCTGCACCCGGCCACATGTAATTCTTCGGGAAGGTCTACATGGTCGTGAGATCACTTGTGTAAAGCGCGTGGGCACCATCACCCTGGGGCCCGAATTTGAGGTACCCAGCCTTGAGCAGCCTGATTACCTAGAGCCTGGTAGTGAGGGCCCTGGTCTGACAGATATTGTGATTACATGCAGTGAAGACACTACTGTCTGTGTCCTGGCACTCCCCACAGCCACAGGTTCAGCCCATGCACTCACAGCTATATGTAACCATATCTCCTCGGTGCGTGCCGTTGCGGTGTGGGGCACTGGCACCCCAGGTGGTCCTCAGGATCCTCGACCAGGTCTGACAGCTCATGTAGTGTCAGCAGGGGGTCGAGCTGAGATGCACTGCTTCAGCATCATGGTCACTCCTGACCCCAGCACCCCAAGCCGCCTTGCCTGCCACGTTATGCACCTTTCATCTCACCGGCTGGATGAGTACTGGGACCGGCAGCGCAATCGGCATCGGATGGTCAAGGTGGATCCTGAGACCCGGTAATGTGCACTTTCAGGCAGGGGAATAGGGTGGAAATATGAAGGGCAAGTCCTGGGTGGTGTCCCCAGGCTTTCAGACTCCATCTGACAGCTATATTTTCTCTACTGTAGGTACATGTCCCTTGCTGTTTGTGAACTTGACCGGGCTGGACTTGGCCCCATTGTGGCTGCAGCCTGTAGTGATGGGGCAGTGAGGTGAGAGCATGGGGCCCAGTAGGTGGGGTGATAGGGTATAAGGTTGTCTGACATAGCTTCTGAGCTGGGCCACCTCCTGGCCCCCAGGCTCTTTCTTTTGCAGGACTCTGGGCGAATTCTACAGCTCCTTGCTGAAACTTTCCACCATAAGCGGTGTGTCCTCAAAGTCTACTCATTTACCCATGAGGCACCCAACCAGCGGCGGTAAGGGGCTGAATGACAGTCCTGCATGGGTTAGGTGGGGAGTTCCTGCTTCTCTCTCCATTCCTCACTGACCTGGCTGCCCTTTCCTGGCTCCTAGGAGGCTGCTGCTTTGCAGTGCAGCTACTGATGGCAGCCTAGCCTTCTGGGATCTCACCACGGTGTTGGACCGTGGTTCCATGGTCCTGGAACCTGCAGGACACCCTGGGCTTCCTTACCGTGAGTAGTTAATGTGTAGCCATGACTGTCCCTTCCCACTTCTCACTTTGCCCTTACATACAAGGCAGGCAGGGCCCTAAAATCCAACCTTTTATTTCAGAGCTGGGTACTCCCTGCCTGACCCTCCAGGCTCATAGCTGTGGTGTCAACAGTCTGCACACCTTACCAACATGTGAGGGCCACCATCTTGTGGCCAGTGGCAGTGAGGATGGCTCCTTGCATCTCTTCAAGCTTGCTGTGGAGATACCAGAGCTGGAAGATGCTGTGGGGGAGGCTGAGCTGGTGCCCCAGCTGCGTGTGCTTGAAGAATACTCTGTCCCCTGTGCACATGCCGCCCATGTGACAGGCCTCAAGATCCTAAGCACAAGCCTCATGGTCTCAGCCTCCATTGACCAACGGCTAACTTTCTGGCGTCTGGGGCATGGTGAGCCCATTTTCATGAACAGCACTGTATACCACGTGCCAGATGTGGCTGATATGGATTGCTGGCCTGTGAGCCCCGAATTTGGCCATCGCTGTGCTCTTGGGGGCCAGGGGCTTGAGGTTTACAACTGGTATGACTGAGGTGTCCTACAGTGGCTGGTGTGCTGGGCAAGGGGTCTCCTCACAGATAGTGGAGCAGGAGTCAACTGTCTGTGCTCATGTCCAGTGTGCCTTGAGGAGGGGAGAAGGTGGAGGCTGTGGGTTCCTGACTCCACAGCAGGAGCTGGAGGTGAGTAGAGTACTGCCTAGGTGGACCAAGAATATGCCCCACTCCCCATAGTAGACATAACCTTGTAACAGAAGCAATTTATTTTGGCTTTAAGCTCCCGGAGTCTGTGGAGTTTGTAAAATTATCAACTGGAAGAAAAATGCCAAACATTCCCAAATACTTGGCCCTCTGTGGCTTTAGATGTGGTTCAATGGAGGGATGCCCAGCATAGCCAGGCCAGTATGGAGTATCTCACGCACGGCTTTCAGAAGCTGCAAGCGGGCAAACATCTGACCAAAGAGGTGTGGCCGAGGCTCCTGGAGGAGAAGGGACCTGCTGGTCTCATTTTTTGCTTCCCTTGCCTTCACTCTGAACTCCTCTGCCCTTCCCACATATTCCCTTTTGCTGTGTACTCACCCCTAGGACATGTATCCGGTTATAGTATGAGCTGAAATCCATGCTGAGCTGTATCAGGAATTTGCATACCTAGAGACAGAGATAGTTACTGGCCCATGTCTTTTTGTGCCCCATCTTAGAATAAAGAATAGAGTGTGACATGTCTGGTCTGGTCTTCTGTGCCTTACCATCTCTGTGTGAGCAGTGACACGGAGCCCCGGGGATACACAGGTCAGGACTGCAGTCTGACTCAACAGATCCGAGAAGGGAAGGACACTGTTGAAGAGCAGCAACCACTCGCCCTGTGGGGTACAAGGGTGCTGGGAGGCAAAGTCCAAGGGTACTGCTTGTGTCAGATACTCAAGAAGGGCACTCACCTCATCTTGTAGCAGCGAGAAGTCCAGACTGCTCACAGGTGGGAAAGTAGGGTACAGACCTTGTTCCATACAGCGTTTGTAACCCTCAAAGAGTGTGGCAAGACGGGCACAATTATACATGACAAAGGTGCCACTCTTTGTGCCCTTTGTGGAGATGTTACTGTCAGTCAGGGCCAGATGGAGCTAGAGAATGAAGACACAATTTCAGAGAGAGTAGACATCAAGCCTTAGTCCTATGAGGTGTCCAGACTCACCTGACTCTGTGGGGCTGTGCTTAGCATCTCAAACTTGATGGTAGCCACAGACAGAACCCCAAAGATCTCTATCCAGGCTGGGTCTGGGGGAATATAAGTTAGTATTTCAGTCTCTGCAAATGGAACGGGTACAAATGACCTGGCCTTACTCCAGGGCACAGCTAGGGTTTCTCAGGTGCACCTTGTGCCAGACTACCACCGTGCTTCAGAGCTGAGGCCTTGCACACCTGGGTATGTCGGGACCTGCATGTTGAAAGAAGAGAGCCAATAGGCACAATCCTAATAAAAATTTCTACCTCCCAATCTCAATCTCCCTGCCTTAGGTTGGCCTTCCTTCCAGCTTCACTTACTCATAGTATTCAAGGGCAGTCATCAAAGTTCCAGGTGCACCAGCTACTTTTACTGGGCCACAGACCAGGTGCTTCTGTAGAAGACATCAGGGGTTCAGCCCAATTGGCACTGCATTCCAGCCATTAGTCCATTAAGGAACCCAAATCTGGTGCCTCTACTCCACCCTCCCTCCAACCTGTATTCACCAAGCATAGTGCCTCCCTTTCAAGCCCAGTTCCTCAAGACATGGTGCAATTTATCTTTTTATTCAATATTCCTAGGATATGCCTTCAGATTTTACCTTCTCCAGGGCTTCTGCAACTGTTGCATATGCCTGTTCATTTAGTCTCCCTCAAGCTCAAGTCTCAGTTTCTTGATCTACCAGCTAATGAGCCTCTTTCAGTTTGGGGGAGTCTATTATCACTAACCTACCTGTCTGAGTGGAGCCTGGTCATCCAACTTCCACCAAAGTAGGTCCAACTTTTGTTGTTGGAACTCCTCCTCACAGCTCACCACATGTACAACTATGCAGCTGTCTACACCAGCATCTGGAGCCACCGTCTTATAAAGAAAAACGACAGTTACTGCAAAAATGCAGGATATTTGGTTTGCCAGAGGCTTATGGAACTGGAAGTTACTAACCAGGCTTTGGTGGTTGTCTTCTGGCCAATGCTGCACAGCTTCCTGCAGCTCAGCCAGCACAGAGAGCAGGTCCTCGGTCACTGCAAACAGAACAATAAAACAGGTACTGAGACTGACAGAGATACTTCCTCCTTTCTGATTCTGCTAGGCTCCAGGTCCTACCAAGACAGTTGTCCACACTGGGGTCATAGCCAGCCCTGTGGCCCTGTTCTTCTACCAGATCCTTCAGGCATAGTCTTCCCAAGACGCCAGGGGGCAGTGTCTCCCCATCATGCAGAGAGGTTAGCTCTGCTAGCACACGGCTCTTCAGGGTTTCAGTAGACGCTCTTGCAGAGGCAGTGGGCCAGTCCACCCTCAGTTTCTGCAGGAAAGTTGGCATGTGCGGGTCCCGCACAGCGGGCACTAGGTGCACACACATCCTGCAAAGCGAGGGTGGTCACCTCAGCCTGGGCACCGAGTCCCAGATCGCTTCCCACTCTCCGAGGCTATCCCCAAAGATACCGCCTTTCTCCATTCTAACCTCAAGTCTGCACTTACCCTTGAGTACGCAGAGTTCGCCCCAGGTGATCCGCCACAAGTACTGCACGCAGCTGGCTCAGGCGGAGTGCGTCAGGGCTGCAGCGCAAAGCCGGGCAGTGTAGGACTACTCGCGGTCCCGGCGAGGCAGGTCTGGTGGGCGTGGCATAGGAGGCAACTGAGCCGAGGACACGCTGAAAGACTGCAGGTCGCTGCAACTGGAGCGCCAAACCCGCTGGTGTCGGCGCGCAGCGCAGCACCGGGGCCACACCGGGACCCTGCAGGCTAGCGACCGCATGGAACACATGCTCCGGCACCTACGAGCAGACAGGCGTGTGAGCAGGCCGCAACTTCCCTGAAACCCTCGACCTTACATCTCCGCCGGGCTCCCGCACACCTGCTCGTCCCCGAAGCGCGCCCGTAGAGCTTGTCGCGGTGCCAGGAAGTCTCGGACACGCAGGTGCCGGGCACGGGTCTCCTTAAACCACACCGGACCCCCAGGTCCTAAGGCAGCGTTAAGGGCCCCCAGCGTCTCCCCGACCCCAAGTCGCCCAGTCGCCATGGCGACCGGAAGTAAAATATTCGGAGGTGGAACTTCCGGGTGAGCCCCGAACCGCTCCGGGAGGATCTGGTGGAGGTCTGGTTAAGTGGACAGGTGCGCTCTCAAGTGAGCCGAGTCAGCCGCATTCGACCTACCTACCCAGTGTTCCCTCCGTGTGGCCCTCCTGCACTTCTGGGCCCCGAGAGTGCCTAGGGTTCTTTATTGCTGCTCTGCATTAGCAATCAGTAAAAGAATTCTTGTGAGGGGAGGGGGCGCAGACAAGAAATCTTGTCATCAGTCTCAAATGTGTGTTCCTGTTCATTTTAAATAATGTTTCATTTCCCCCATTTTAAACGTTATGAAAATGTCAGAAGTACCAATTCATTTTAAATAATGTTTCATTTCCCCCATTTTAAACGTTATGAAAATGTCAGAAGTACCAAACGAGTTGTCATTGGAATGCGGCTGTAACGTAAAACACTTTCACGACCTACTTTTAAAAACCTTATTTTTAAAAGAACTGTGTTCTATGGTTTCAGGTTATTGGCAAACCTTCTCTTGAGATTCAAGTAGTCTTTACTCCCAATAAATGCCCAATCTGATAGAATTTCCCGTTTCCTTCTCTTGACACCTGAGGAATTAGAACCATCATGGACCATGCTCGGATTCACACGCCTGAATTCCCAGCGGCTCGGGAGGCTGAGACAGGAGAATCAGGAGTTCAAAGCCAGCCTCGGCAATGGCGAGGCCCTAAGCAACTCAGTGAGACCTTGTCTCTAAATAAAATATGAAATAGGGCTGGGGATGTGGTTCAGTGGACAAGTGCCCCTGAATTCAGTCCCCAATATCCTCTCCACCAAAAAAAAAAAAGAACCTTCATGGTTTCCAGAATTACCAGTTCCTTTAACCTGGTGTACTTCACTAGCAACCCTTTAATACTTACAGTAAGCATTAAAAACAATACACAAATAAACAATGTGACCATGAGAAGACTCAACTAAACAGGTCATAGGAGTATCCTGCTTTTATACCAGCAGGAAAGCTCTTTTTCTGTATAGCAAAAGGGTTCCAAATGTTTTCATTTTAATGTAACTTAAGCCTGTGCTGCCCTTCTAATAGCGATTGAACCTAACTCATGATCTCTGGAAGAGGGGAGGTGCCCAGAGGTTGGACAAAGAGGGAATTCTAAGGAGAGGGAAAGGTTAGCAAGGTCCCTTTCTGGGCTGGGGCTATGAGGCCCTGTTGGAAGGCTCCGAAAGAGCACTGGGCGGACACGACATTCCCGATGGCTTCTTGGGTGCCCACTCAACGGGAGTGATCGTGTCATTCCAAAGCACTTTCCATGCCACAGGCGAAAGACCTGGAGACAGCTGCTAGCAGGGGCCCACCGGCAAGCTGGGGACCTCAGCTACTCTCAGTCCAAGAAGACGGTTGGGGTGGTTTTTCCCCAGGAAGTGAAGGGCTATCTTTAGCAAGCCGTGGGCTGGGGCGGCCTATGGGACTCACCGCCATTGCAGCCCTACCCGATGGACCCAGGTCCTCCCTCACCAAAGCTCTCATGGAGTTCCAGTGAAGGCCACCAGCCCAAGCATTCGATGTCTACGCTTGCCATCTGCAGCCTGAGGGCGCACCTGAGAGAGGGACGGAGACCAGGGTGGCCCAGTACAGTCAGTGTGCCTGGGGATCAGGGGCCACTCCATCTGGGCTAGGGCGCTGCTCAGGCAGAAGAGCAGGGAACGAAATCCAAGCGCAGCTGGAATGCTCTGGAGACAACAGCTGCTTTTGGGATTCCGTTGCCCGCTGTCCAGCCGTTGGAGGGGGGCTCCTGCCCCCAGGTCACTCGCACTGTGATCAGCTCAAAACCCACACCCATCCCCAGTCCCAGGGTGTGGACTAGGCAGAAGTAGGTGGTGTAATCGAGTCTAGTGAGAATGAGGCGCTCACCTGGGCCCCAGAACAATAGGAGGGAAGGTGGGCGCCTCCCCTGGGACCAGGTCCCGATCCGGATTAGATCCGCAGGGCAGGATTAGCCCTGTGGGTCCCACGCAGCTGGAGCCACTGGTGCGGTGACGGTGGTGGGGCGAGCTTCGGAATCTGCCAAGAGGAAAGCGCGCCCGTGGGGGCCGGAGAGGAAGTCAACGCGCGCGCCCACTTCGGGGACACCCCCGCGCTCGGGGGCCTTTGTCCGCTGACGCTGCCAGCGTCCAGACAGCCAGGGGCCGAATGGGCCCACACAGTAGTCACAGGACAACTGGAAGGCCATTGGGACTAGCCCTGGCAAATCCAACCCCAGGCCAGACTGCGCTGAGCCTCCTGCCCACCCGACCCCGAGGGTAGCAAACGCGACAATGTCTCGCTGAGGCCACCACAGAGCCAACGCGCGGAGATGTCCGAACCCCGCGCGGGCGTTCGTGAGTCTTGCGCCAGTAGGCCCTTTACTTGGCTGAGAACAGGGGGCAGGGAAACCCGGAACGCGCAGAGTGAAGGAGGACGGGATGATGTTCCGGGTGCTGTGTAGTTCACGTCTGGTCCGGTTCGGCCCAGTTAGTCCCACCTGAACAGCTACATTAGTCGTGCCATGGCGTGCCCTTCCGCTGGCTCTGGCTGTCCTCAGGCTTGAAGCCATTTTAAGGCGAAACCACCTGGCCACGCCCCCTCGCGCTCCCGAGAAGCCAATCCACGCGCGGCCACGCCTTCTGCAGCGCGCGGCAGTGCAGCCAACGGTCGCGCGAATGACGGTTGGTGAGGGCCGTGATTCCGAAACTAGCTAGGGAAACCTTAGCCACCCGTCCCGCCCACGAAGCCCGACACCGAAAAGCCTGGGATTAGGTGCTTGGAGGCTGGCACCACACCCTGGCCAGGTGTGCAGCAGAGGACCAGGTGCTTGGTCGCTCCGCCCCTGGTCCCGGGAGCCCCGCAGAATGCCTGAGAGCCTCGGGGCCAGGCCGAGACTGCGACCCAGGCAATGCCCGGAAGACGGCGACGGGACCAGGTGTCCACTCCCTAGGGACGATGGGCGGAGAAATGGGGAGGGGCTGGCGGCAGGTGCCGTCACCCGAGCGGCGCCTGGAACGCGAGCTCTTGAGAGTTAAAATTGCCTGCTGGGCCGGCCTAATTGCGCAGTCCCCTCCCGGACGTATGGGGCGCTGTAGCTACACTAGGTCAGGCTCCGCTACCTTCTCACTATTCCTGCGGAGGACTCGCTACGCTCAGAGCAGCCATGGCCACCGCTTTCTCGCTCCGTTACCTCTACAGAGCGCGACCCGTGCCGCGCTTCCTACATGTTGCGCTGCAGTGGTAAGTCCGGCCCCCCCGGCCCCGACCTTCTGCCTCCCAGCTCCAAGATCCGCACAGCCCCGGATGTGCGCCCGACCTTGCCCCTTCCGCAGGTTTCCACAGCGTGGGCACCGACTGTCGCTAGCTGATGATGAATTGTATCAGCGGACTCACATTTCTCTGCTGCAACGCGAGTTCCCGCATGTCATGTACATTGATAGCTACAACAGCCGAGGCTTCACTATCAACGGAAATCGAGTGCTCGGTCCTTGTGCGCTGCTCCCGCACTCGGTGGTACAGTGGAATGTGAGCCCTTCCCCGCAGTGGGCAAACAGGCCAAATTACAGTCCTTCTCCCTGCTTGTGTCCCTGGCAAATTTGGCTTTTCCTTGTTATCCGGTAGTCAGAGTTTGGAGGGCGGCGGCTAGAAGGTAACTTAGGTAGATTTGATTGTCGTATTGAATTGGCCCCCACCCATACAGGTGGGATCCCACCAGAACATCACAGAAGAAAGCTTCTCCCTCTTCTGGTTGCTGGAGCCCAGGATAGGTATGAAGGGTAGGGGAAGACTGAGGTGCTCTAAGCCTGGAAAGGATACCCGATCCTCTCAACAGACCTGATTGTAAAATAGCCATCTCTCACTTCCCTAGAGATTGTTGTGGTGGGCACTGGAAACAGGACTGAGCGGCTACACTCTAAGGTGCTGCAAGCCATTAGGCAGCGGGGCATCGCTCTGGAAGTGCAAGACACAGTAAGTCTTGTAAATGCTGTGGGAGCTCAGGCCTAACCCCAAGGAAACTAACGACTTATCTTTGCAGCCCAGTGCCTGTGCCACCTTCAACTTCCTGTGTCATGAAGGCCGAATGACAGGAGCTGTTCTCATCCCCCCACCTGGAGAGACTTCACTCACATATATGAGCCAAGATGCAGAATGAACAGGAAGTGATCAGCTGTTCAGGAGGGACACTTTATAAAGTGCAGATGTTCCCATTGTTTTCACTGTCCTCTCCATTGGCACTAAACACTTTTCATGCTTGACAGGAATATAATTTATATAATTCTCCCATTTTGTATCAGGTGTGTTGCTGGCCAGGGGTTGCTGGGTCAGTGGGCCACTGGTGGAGGTGAGGAGAAAGCAAAGGGTCACTATTTTATCTAGACTATTCCTTCACTTCAGAGGCCAGGAGGCAGATGTTTTGTTTCAGATCTTATGGACATTTATATGAGTTTCTCCAGGATCCTTTTAAAGATTCATATTAGGGAGTACACATCCAAGTCTTGAACTAGTCCCATGCAGCCAAGCTTTAGGCTAGCAGGAGGCTTTGTATACACCCGTTCCAGACTATAATGTGACACCCCCAACTCCCTCAAGAGCAGAGTTAAGATTCTCAGTGTGAAATAAACCCTAAGAAGCCAGAACTGATTTGAGAACATCCCCCTATGGAATATATGTATTTTTTTAAGTCAGATATACACAATATATTTGTTTTTAGGAACCCAGTGCCTCACATGTGCAAGGCAAGTGCTCTACCACTGAGTTACAACCTTAGCCCCCAGGAAGAAGTTTTTAAACTGGAACTACCGTCTTAGAAGGACCATGGAGCACTTTTATCCACGGAACAAAATGAGGTTGCTATTTGTATCTGCAGATCCCCCATGTGCCTGGTGACCCCAAAGATCAGGCATCACTCTTTTTCAAACTTTTATTGAAAAACTGAGGAGGCACGCTGGATCCCTTTTCAGAAAAGCCGCTTCTCATACCTGTAGGCAGAGACCACCTGTGAGTTTAGGGCAGGAGAAAAGAGGTATGAGGCATGGAAGATGCTCTCAGCTAAGGATAGGGGTTACTTACGAATGGAGACTGTGGACGCCACCTTCCACCTGAGCTGAGGATGTTCTCTTCTCAAACTTAAGTTCCCCAGAGTACATCATGGCTCTAAAGAGGGACAGGGATCAGATGTAGGTAGTAGCTGACTCACTAAACAGTCCTCCTGCCCATGTCTCAAGTACCCAAGCTCACCGGACTTGAGTCAAACTCTTGGCACCAATATCCTGGCAGGAGTGCTGGATGCCGGCAATCAAGTAGGGGACAAATTTATGGATGGACCCTTTGTCCTGCACAGCCCCTGATACCCCTTGGGCCACTTTGATTTTGTCGGCTTCACTATAGGAAGAGGTAGAGAAATGGGTGAGGTCACAGCAGGGATGAGATTTGTCAGAGTTGGGATAGGGTGATTGGTCTGACTGTCTCACCTGAAATATCGGTTCTGGCTGCTGAGATGCTTGTCCATGGCATCAAGAGAGCCCATACCACGATATTTCTTTAGCCGGATCCCATCCGAGAAGAAGTACTCACCAGGGGCCTCAGTGGTAGCAGCCAGGAGGGAACCCATCATGACTGTGGACATATGGGGAGTGCTCAGGGCAGAATCTGGTGAGAAGGGGTCCCACCAAGCTCTAGGGGCACTGAGCCTCACCTGTGGAGGCCCCAAGGGCCAAGGCTTTGGCAATATGGCCCACATTCTGGATTCCTCCATCAGCAATGACAGGAACACCAAAGCGGCGTGCATATTCAGAAACCTTGTACACAGCTGTTGCTTGGGGCCGCCCACAGGCCAACACTGTTGAGGAACAGATGGGTGGGTGGGGGTTAGTGGGAACAAGCAAGAGGCCACACTTAGCACCCAGGAGCTTAGCTACATCTGTACCAGGATGGCAACTGGACTGACGAGATGTCTGGGATGGCTGCTGTCCCATCTGCCTTTTAACAGTTCAATTAGTTGTGCTGGTCTCATCCCTGCATGTGTGCGTGCGTGGGTGCAGGGTTCAGGGCAGCCTCAGGCACATGCAGTCTTAGCAGCCGGGAAAGCCCCGCCCAGCTGGTAGCAGATGGGGCAGGAGTCACCGTGCAGTTAGTACCCAGAGGCACCATGTCAACCCCAGACTTTCCTCTCTGAATACTGGGCACCTGGGGCAAGATCAGGTAATGTGAGAGCAGGCTACAGGGCTGATCCTTGAACTACTACAGAAGATGTGGACAAAGCATAGCCCGCCTAGGGAAGCAGGTCCTGCTGTGTAAGCACCCAGGAAGAAAAAGGAGCTGTGATCTCAAGCAGCCCCCAAACCATGGTCTGTACATCTGTTTGCCCTGCCCACCCATTAGCACCACAAACTCCGGGAGCTACAGCTACAATCAACCAAGCAGCCGGGCAGTGGGCAGCTGGGCCGGCCAGTGGGCCGGGCCGGACTTACTATAGCAGCCCGTGACAGTAGAAGGGCATTTGGGGCTGTGGGACTTTATGTCTGGAGGGATCTTGGGAGCCGCTAAATAAAACAAACAGACCAGAGTTTAGAGAGGGTGCAGAGCAGGAGCAAGGAGGCCAGGCTAGGCAGGGAAGTGGCAG